CCCCGCGCTTGTACTTTCTGATTCCATGTACACACTGAATTTAGAAAGACAAGCAATGTAGAGAACAGAACCCAAAATGGTGGTAACTCTTGTAGGATCCTAATTAGAAGGGAGACCAAGAAGGGCTGGGGTTCTGGGTTTCAAGACTGACTGTTCTAGGTATGTTCAGTTTGTGAAAATTAAGTGATTAGCTGGGCACTGGTGACTCATGGCTATTATCCTAGCTACTCAGGAGGCTGAGATCTGAGAATTGAGGTTAAAAGCCAGCAGGGGCAGGAAAGTCTTAAGAGACTCTTATCTCCAATTAATCACAGAAAAAGCTGGAAGTGGTGCTGTGGCTCAAATGGTAGTGTGCTAGCGTTGAGCAAAAGAAGCCCAGGGATAGTGCCCAGGCCTTGAGTCCAAACCCCAAACAACAACAACAACAAGAAACCATTGAGATACCTAAACCTAGACGTGGTCTTTTCTGTGAGAAACCATGGGAGCTTAAAGTCCAACCTCATTTGGAGGTCAACTCAAGTTTCCTGGTTTGGTGACATCCTCCTGCCACCTGTGACTTCTGTTCTGTATAAACTCTGATTGTAGCTGTTATTAAAACAGTGTGGTTTAGCAGTTAGTCATGCTCTAAGAATTCCTTTTACTTTTTTCTTCACTGCAAGTTAAGAAAGTTCAATCGAAGCCAACAACCTCATCTCTCATTTCTCCAGCCAGGGTCAGGCATATTAATGAATATCTGACAAGTGATTAACTGACGCCCTTGAAGAGATAGAAAAATAAGCAGAGGCCCTGCTGAGGCAAGAGCAAGCGCCGGCTCTTCGGTGATGCTGCTGCTGCTTTCTTTGTCTCTCCACTTGATTAACCCCTTTGATCTCTTTCTTAATCTCTGTCTCTTTATCTAAAATCTCTTGCTTATATGCTCATTGTAAAGCGTTAGGAAACATGAAAAAGCACAAAGAAGAGAAAAATAAACACCCATAATCTTTCTGTGCAGTTCATTATTACACATTGTTTTTTCTTTTGTTTCTCATAAAGTGCCATGTCTTTCATGCCCTTCACCCATGCCCCACCCTTTTGCTTGAATTTCTTTTTTGTCCATTGTGGGGTTTGAACTTGGGGGCTAGGCACTGTCCCTGAGCTTTTTCGTTAGTGTTCTACCACTTTGAGCCACAGTGCCATTTCTGGTTTTCTGGTGGTTGATTGAAGATAAGAGTCTCACAGGACTTTCCTGCCTGGGTTGGTAGCTAGGATTGTGAGCCACCAGAGCCTGGCTTGTATTGCTTAACAGTGATGAAAGTGAGTAGAGGAGAGAAACGTCACTGTTTTGTTTTTGGTGAGCAGGGTCTCACTATGTAGCCCAGGCTAGCTTCAGACTTCTGATCTTATTGCCTCAGCCCCTTGAGTGCTGGGATTATAGGCACTGAGTCTAAAGGTGTGCACTGCCAAGCCTGGTTTTTAAAAGCTTCTTGGGGAAAGTGGGAACTTCATGTGTTGCTACTTTGAAGCTAAATCTTATATAAAACCCTTGTCTTTCTCATCTTACCAGAAAATAGTACAACATGATATATAACAAATTCCTTTATACTTGTCACTTAGATTTTTGTCAGGTGTCTATAATAGACTCCAGATCTCTAGAAGAAATGGAGAACTCTTCTAGCATAGAACTGTGCTTCTCTTTTTAATTGTGTGCGTGTGTGTGTGTGTGTGTGTGTGTGTGTGTGTGTGTGTGTGTGTGTGTGTGTGTTGCCAGTCCTGGGGCTTGAACTCGGGGCCTGGGCACTGTCCCTGAGCCTCTCTGCTCAAGGCTAGCAGTCTACTACTTGAGCCACAGCATTACTTCTGGCCTTTTCTATTTATGTGGTACTGAGGAATTGAACCCAGGGCTTCATGCATGCTAGACAAGCACTCTACCACTAAGCCACCTTCCCTGTCCCCCTTTCTAAATTTTAGCATCTTATGGATGCTCTTGTCCTAAATTCTTTTGAAGGCAGCTATGGATGCAGCAGCTTTTAGATTTTTCAGTCTTATCATCCCTGACTCTGCCTTACAGTCTGGATTCTACTGGGATTTCTGAGAAGTTAGACACACTAATTTTCATGTTTCTGAACCCATAAAGTAGGAGGCTAGCACTGTGTAGCTAACCTGGCCTCTTGGTTCTGACCTGAAGAACTAGCCTGTGATTCCTGGGTCCTCACAATTTCTAGTGCTTGAACTCTCCCTCTTATCTTGTAAAAATATATTCTTGAGGTTCTCCTAAAATAGATTCCAGTCATTTCTTCTACCCATCTTCAGTCCCCCCACCCAGCCTGGGATTTGAACTCAGGGCCTGGGTACTGTCCCTGAGCCTCTTTGTGCTCAAAGCTAGCATTCTACCACTTGACCCACAGCTCCGCTTCTTGGCACTCTACCCCTTGAGCCATAGCACCACTTTTGGCTTTTTCTGAGTAGTTTTGAAGATAAGAATTCCACAGTCTTTCCTAACCAGGCTGACTTCAAACCATGATCCTCAGATCTCAGCCTCCTAAGTAGCTAGGATTACAGCTGTGAGCCACTAGCGGCCAACATAGTCATCTCTTCTTGACCTTGTTCAGATATTTTTCCTTCCAAATTTCCAAAATTCCCTATATTCTACTCTAGACTCCTGAAATTTTTAAATGACTTCGCTTAAATTAGATTATTCAGACAGGGTTCTCTTGACCTTTAAAATAATCTAATGAGTATATCATTTTATTTAATTTTATGGTGGTTTAAGGCAGTATGATGACATTCGTATTATCTCTAGGCCTCTGCCTTACCTTACCGTCTTGCTTGTTGCTTGTCCTGATCTGTTCATCTAGGTAATACTATGCTCTTTGTGGCATAGTGTGGTATTATGTGGTGTGTGTGTGTGTGTGTACACATGCACTGTACATAAGTGTATGTGTATGTATGTTTGAGAGACTCAGATAGGGACAGAGAGACAGAAAAGAGTTTGTTGAGAAGAGACAAATGAGATGTAGTTTGGATTTGTATTTTCACTGTAGCCGTCGATCTGGCCCTCAGCCCCTGCTCAGCTCCCTCATGTGGTCTGGTAGTCATGTCTCTTGGAATCCTGAGCATCTGTTGTCCTCAGCACTGAGCAACAAAATTTCAAGTGATGGTTATGTTTCATTCTTTTTGACTTTGTGACTGTCAGCTTCCAGTTATATACTTGGGAGTAAGTTTATCGTGGTGATGGTAATGTGTGCTCACTGTCAGGAAGGAATGCTCAGTTTTAAGGGAACCATTCCTTATTTTATGAGCGGCTACCTACAGGAGGCCATCCTCCCAAATGCTGGAATTACAGGCCTAATCTAACTTTTGAAATAATTTTTTTTTTAAATTACTACTGTGGGATTTTTATGAATGGGAAGAACTAGGGAAGGGTTCATCTGTAAATGACTCAGGCAGAAATCATAAACTCATGCTGCAGGGTTACATTTTAATTTGACTAGTACTTTGAGTGAAATAGCTTTCTTTTGTAAAAGGTTAAAACCACCCTAATTGTCCTTATGTGAAAAACTTGGCAGGTGAAAAACACACCAGGCGTACATAGAGCTTCTGTGTACATCAACATACAGCATACCTAGAATTCTTTGTGTCACTCGATCCCATCCTCCTCTAATTCCATGAGCAAGATGCTGTTGTGTAGGGGTCTGCTGTAAAAAGCTGTTTAATGTGCTGGACCCCATGTCTTAGTCTACTTGGATTGCTGTAACAAAATGCCATAGAACAAATGGCCGTAAACAACAGAAATTTGTTGCTTACAGTTGTAGAAGCCAAGAAGTTCAAAGTCAAAGATGCCCGCAGATTTGGTCTTAAGGACTTAATTTCTGGCTCACAGATGACACGTTCTAGTTGTTTCTTCACATGGTGGAAGACTTCTGGGATCTCCTTTTTATCAGCACCAATCTCGTCTGGAAAGCTCCTTCCTTCCCTGTGGCCTAATCACCTCCCAAAGCCCCACCTCCTAATACCTTGGGGTTCGGATTTCATCATGTGAATTTGAAGGCCCACATTGAGACCTGCATCTGCAGTTGCCCCCTATAACTCTGAGGCTTGTTAGAAAATGGAGGTTCCCTGTCCCCCACTTACATTTTGTTGTTGTTGAAACACCAGCTAACATCTGGAGGACACAGTTTGGGAAGTGAGACATGTTCAACAGTCAAACCCAGCCGGGTTCAGATACATTTTCCTCCTACTCTCTCACCAGTTTTCCAGATTCTTCTTGCTGATTATGTGGAATTTGAGATTGTCATTTAGCATTAAAAACAACAACAGGGCAGTACACTTATTTCTTTCTCATTCACTAAAACATACTTATCATAGCCCTGTGCCTAGACACTATAGATAAAGGGCCCTGCCTTTAAAATAGAGGCAATTAAGAAAACTGACACATACATAGTCTTTCAATAGGACATAAAAGCTGCTTATACTGTGTACTGAGCACCCCCTCCCCAGGGAGGGGGTTCAGGGATGGGGTCCCTAGGGAGCAGTGAAGGCTTCCAGGTGGAGGAAACAGGGAAGGAGTCAAGAATTTGCTTGTCAGTGCTTGAGTGCTGGAGCTTTCTGCCGAGTGGCTGGTGGAGGAGCACAGATGGCTTTGAAATTGCAGACATTCAAGGAGAAGGGACAGGAAACCCTCCAGTAAGGTATTTGACCTTTGGTCTCTCAGTAACCATTTAGTGTCAAATAAATAAATGGAAGTTTTCTGCTGTATTGTGTCATGCAGGAAGAATTGCAGAAACTTTTTTTTTTTTTTTTGGGTCTGGTCGTGGGGCCTGAACTCTGGGCCTGGGCGCTGTCCCTCAGCTCTTCAGCTCAAGGCTAGCACTCTACCACTTGAGCCACAGTGCCACTTCCAGCTTTTTCTGCTTATGTGGTGCTGAGGAATGGAACCCAGGGCCTTGAGCGTGCAAGGCAAGCGCTCTACCACTGAGCCACCTTCCCAGCCCTACAGAAACATTTTTAAGAAATAGTTCTACACCTTAGCCTATAAACCATAGGATTCATTTTCATTTTAGTAACTTTTTCCAGTGAGTTACTCCATGCTTCAGATGCTCCATTCATGCCCCATGTACTAAAATGATTGACTAGAGTTAAATAAACCTTCAATTTCTAAATGTGGTTGTGGTTGAGATAAAGCCGTTTTCTTTTCTTTTCTTTTTTTCTTGTTTCCTTGACAACTGTCTGGATTTTTTTTTAGCTTTGGATTTTTCTCAACATGAGCTGCATCCTTCAGTTTAATTGAAACAAGTAGAGATTTACATCATGTTCAGAGAGAGTCTAATACAAGGGTTGCAAAGTATGCATTTTTTTTCAGGACCCTTAGGAAACCAATGTTGAATATGGTAGAAATTTTCATATAACTATTGACCTAGCTGGTTAAACAAACAAAAGGAAATCAACAGTGATTTTCTCTGTCTGATAACAAGTATAATAAAAATAATTGAGCCAGGCTGTATTAGCTCACACCTGTAATCTTAGTTATTCATGCAGCTGAGATCTGTGCCTGAATAGGAAAGTCTATGAGACCCTTATCTCCAACTAGCCAGCAAAAAGCTAGAAGTGGAGCTGTAGCTCAAGTGGTAGAGCACCAGCCTTGAGTAAGAAAGTTGAAGAACAGCCCCAAGCCCTGAGATCAAGCCCCAGTTCTGGTGTGCCTGTGTGTGTGTCTGTGTGGCCTGTGTGTGTGTGTGTGTGTGTGTGCCTGTGTGTGTGCCCTGTGTGTGTGTGTGTGTGTGTGCCTGTGTGTGTGTGTGCCTGTGTGTGTGCCCTGTGTGTGTGTGTGTGTGTGTATGTGTGTGTGCCCTGTGTGTGTGTGTGTGTGTGTGTGTGTGTGTGTGTGAACAGAGAGCAGAGTTATAGCTGTGGAACTAAAGACAGGTTGGAGCAAGAGGATAGAAAGCTCTCAAGGGGAGCTCATGAACTGCAGGTTCATCCTAACAGTATAACATGTGATAATGGCACTGAAAGACTGTTGGAAGATGCTGGTAGAGTTAAGGTAGTAGTTACAAAGTAAAGCAAACAAATGCAAAAGAAAAATTACTTCTTGCTATAATATTGTACAGTAAAGGAAATACCCTTAGTATATTTCTTAGTGATTAATATTTACATAGTTAAAGTAATATAAACACTTAATATTGCTTTAAAAATGATGTATCTATAGTTATAGAATGGGGAAGAGATGCCCGTGTGTCTATTTATAATGACTATATGTACATATATGTGTCTGAATCCTAAATTTTAACCTACCATGGTAGGATACTACATATAATGTCTAAAACTGATATATTATCATATAAACATGTTAATTAGACATATAACAATTTCTCTTTTGTGTGTGCCATTCCTGGGTTTGAACTCTAGGCCTGGGCACTGCCCCTGAGCTTTTGTGCTCAGGGCTGGCACTCTACCATTTGAGCCACAGCTTCACTTCTGGTTTTTTGGTTATTAATTGGAGATGAGAGTCTCATGAACTTTCCTGTGTAGGCGGGCTTCAAACTGAGATCCTCATGTCCCAGCCTCCTGAGTAGCTAGGATTATAGATGTGCACCACCAGTGCCAGTCTAAATACATAAAGATTTTAAAAACTAAAATAGTAAGTTGAAATGGACTAGAGAAATGAGAAAAAAATGATAGAATGGATAAAGAGCTATTCTTTTGCTCTGTAAGATTTTTAGCCTCGGCTTTTTTCTTTTTATATATAATTTTTAAATTAAATAATTATGCAAAGGGGCTTCAATTGCTTCATCTGACTTAAAGTTTATAAGCATTTATTATGTTGTATTTATTATGTTGTTAAAATGAAAAATTAGTGATTAACTAACAGTTTAAGCAGCCCTTCTAACGAGTGTATGTTACAGATACAGTTTAATATACATTTGATTAGTAGGAAATGTTATTCAGTATATGGCCAATGAACTTGTCTGGCAGGCTCTTTTTTGGTTTTTTTTTTTGTTTGTTTTTTTGTTTTTTATTTATTTTTTATTGTGAAAATACTGTACAGAGGGGTTACAATTACATGGGCAAGATAATGAGTATATTTCTTATCAAGCATTGTAGCCTCCTCCTTTGTTTCCCCTTCCCATCCCTTCCCATCCTCCCCCCCCCCCCCCTCCGGCCAGGCTCATTTTTAACCAAATCCATTTTCACTTGCACACAGAGTTATTAACTCAGACTCACCTTGTGGGAAGTCATGCTAGAAAAATTTGTCATTTCCTGCTGCACCATGGAGACAGATAGAATATGGCTCATAGTGTTGAGGCTGTAGGCTTATTAAAATTGAGTAGATTTTTAATTTCTTTGATTTAACGATGTACCTCTGCCATGTACTTAATCTACAGCAAATATTTACCTTCACAAATTGACAGATTTACAATTTATAACTTGTCATATCAAATGAAGCATTTTCTCTTTCCTCTACCTCCAGAAAGCTCTCTGTTCAGGATTACCTTTTATAAATAGTTGACACATTGAAGGATGCGATGGGCTTAGGAGGCTGAGATCTGAGGCTCAAAGCCAGCCTGGGCAGGAAAGTCTGTGAGAGTCTCATTCCAATTAACTACAAAAAAAAACTGGAAGTACATATGTGGCTAAAGTAGTAGAGTGCCAGCCTTGAGCAAAAACTAAGCTAATGGACAGCACTTAGGCCCCCAGTTCAGCTCTAGTACCAGCACAAACAAGAAACAAAACAATAACAAAAAATAGCTCCTTTGTTGGGAGCATTCAGTATTTCCATCCTATAAGTTGGTACTCACTTTTCCCTCCTCACAGCCTTATACTTACTGGTATATTTATTCTGAACAGTTTAATATTTTATTCTGATAATTGAGAGTTAGAGAGATGTATATATACATGCATATATATATATAGTATGTATATGCATGTATACATACTATATATATGTATATGTACATATACACATACTATATGTGTATATGCACATACATGTACATATATAGTATGTGTATATGTACACATATATGTACATATACATATATATATATATGTATATATATTTGGTTAGTCTTGGGTCTTGAACTCAGGGCCTGGGCATGGTCCCTGAGCTTTGTTACTGAAGGCTATGCTCCACTTGAAGCTACCACTTGAAGCACAGCTCTACGCCTGGCTTTTTGGTGGTTAATTAGATATAAGAGTCTCACAAACTTTCCTGCCTAGGCTGGATTCACCCTGCAGTCCTCAAATCTCAGCCTTTTGAGTAGCTAGAAGTACAAGCATGAGCCACCAATACTCGTCCATATATATCCATTTATACATCCATACAAATATATGTATGGATGTATAAATGGATAGGCAGGTTGATTGACAGACAAAATATTGGCAAAGATGTGTTAAATTACAGTTTCAGGTAACAGAGACTATCCAGCAAGCTAACATCTCAAGATGCCCAGCCCATAAAACCCAGATAATGGTCACTTTTCCAAAAGAGGATGAATATTTTTGTTGAACCCAACATAGTCTCCCAAATTAATTGAAGAAAGTAAAATCAGGAAGATGCTACAGTAGACAGTATTAAAATAACTATCGGATTCTTTGGATTTGTACCATAAAACTAGTGTGAGGATCTGGGTTTGGGGACTTTTTGTTTCTAATCAAAGCCTAGGAATGGATATCTTCAGGCTCTTTTGGATCCTTCTTTCTGTTTTCACTATATTTGAGAACACTTTCTAGACCAAAAATACCTTTGAAATTTGAAGATGAGAACATTTGAGACTAAATTCCTAGGGGTACTATGAGGATTCATGAGTATAGTAAATAAGAACTTTGCTGTTTATGAGTAGAAAATTTGTTTGTATGTCAGGACTGGAGACTTCCGCTCATAAGCTCGCCTGTGTGCTATTATTATTTTCAAATGTTTTATAGCTTCTTGGGGCTATACTTCTTCAGTTTGGTTTTAGGCTGCACCACTTAGTAACTGCATGTCTTTGAGCCATTATTTTTTTCAGTCTTTGTCTCAGTTCATCATGTGTTCTCTGGCATGACTATGTTTTATAGAGGTTGTAAACTTTCCCTTTCCAAAAATCCTTGCAGCTAGCATTCTGGATATAATTTAAGGTCTGCTAATAGGCTTGGTCCCATAAACCCTTGAATTCAAGTCTAGATTACATGGAAAGAGAAACAGGGCATAGAACAATTTTTAGCCAGTATAGATACTAGTAGGGTCAGCAGGGTTCTGGAACTATCCAGTGTATTGCTGGCTTCCTACTTTATTGGGCAGCTTCCTGAATGGAAGTTTTAGATCTTGGTAACAGTTGTGATAGTTGAACAAAGTTTTTAACAGGACTTTCTGGTTCCTTTGTTAGGTTCCTAATAGTGGTAGAAGCAGTAGCCCCTTTGGCTGTCCAATTCTGCTGAGTGATTTGAATATGCTTCCTAAAAGCTCAGCCTCAAGCTTGTATCATTTTCCCAACAGTAATTTCCACTATGTTAAACTTATTTCTTTCTGCTTAAAGTAACTACTGTGATTTTTGTTGATTATATCAAAAAAACCTTTACCAGTCAACTTACCTCATAGAGTTTTAGTGATATTTGTATTAATTTCTTGTTACTATAATGATATATCTGAGGCAATTAACTTGTAAAGAGAAAAGGTTTATTTTGGGTCATAGTTCTGTCCTCATTGCTTTAGGCCTCTGGCAAGGGTAGCACATTATGATGGGAACTCATCATGGAGCAACTGTTTTCATCTTGAGCTAGGAAGAGAAACAGGGCATAGAACCTTAATTTTTAGCAAGTATAGATAGTAGCAGAGTCAGCAGAGTTCAGTTAAGGGTAGTGCTCTACCACTTGAGCCACAGTTCCTTTTCCAGTTTTTTAGTGGTTTATTGGAGATTAATGTCCCACGGACTTTCCTGCCTGGGCTGGCTTTGAACCAGATCTCAGATCTCAGCCTCCTGAGTAGCTAGGATTACAGGCGTGAGCCACCAGTGCCAGTTGGGGGGCTCTTTTCAAGAGCTAATGTTCAAATGCATTA